TTCATTTTAAATATCCCGAGGGGATAATTACCGCCGCAGCAATCAGTTCGCCGCGACTAATTCTCCTCCTGCGCTTTGTAATAAATTCCGCACTGCTCGAATATGCACGCATGGGCGGGCGGTCTTGACTATAGCAGACTTACACTCGGGGCCCTTTTTATACTTTTATTTCAAAGATATTAGAAAGGGCCACGGGCGAGACTGCACACATATGGAACGACAGCTAAATCATCTCGTACGAGAGGAAACGCTCGGCGGCGGCTCTCTTTCGAGTTGTCGCGCGCGACCCTTTTTCACTCGTGTCGGATTTATTACCGCGAGTGTTGTCAACTTTAAAACATGCCTAATTGAGACTGTGCGCTGGTGATTCATGTCCTTAAACGAGAGGGACACTTAGAGTGACATTTGCTGACCTTCTGCGTCGGACACTCTCGGATGGATATAGATGGTTGTTGTCGCGGATACCCTCATCTAATGGCGGTGCACACTTTTTAACGCCGAGCTGCTCCTTTCCTCTCTCGTGCCGCGGAGACGCCCACGATTATTAACTCGCGCCACAAATGAATGTGATACTTTTCTCTAATGTATTAAATCCTTTCCTTTTCCAAACGGCCCGCCAAAAGGGATACATAAAATGTGACTGAAATGTTATTTCACGCTTCTCAACTTCGGAAATTATAATCGGCCTGCCATAGCAAAAAAGGCCTCTAATGAGGACATGGCTTTTTAACGAATTTATATTATATACCTTTAGCACCTGCCGTCCTTATTTTTTTTTTAATTCTCTCTCTCTCTCTCTGATTTGCATGAATATATTCGACTGATAAAATCTAACTGGCCCGCGAGCTTTTAGGCGAGCGTGAAAATGCGAGATAGCAACAGTGTTAAAGAAGTGCGGACTAATTGTGCAGAATCGAATTTCGCGCTGAGTAATGAGGCAATTTGCAAGTGTGTCACTCGGACGACGCTACTCTGCAGCCCACCGGGAGAAAAAGTTACGATAACGACGACTAAATGTACACGACGTGTTATAATTATATAAAAAAGGTGGCGTGGAAATTGTCAGTCTCCAATCTTCGATTCAAATTTCGAAGATGTCACTCTAGGCAGGCTGTTGTCGCAGGCTCAGATTTTATCTCGTCGGCGGTGGGTAACCCTTGGACCTAGTTGAAAAAAAAACACGTCACCCAAAAGAAAAGAGGTGATCAATCAAACTAGCACATTATCGCTGATGGAAATGGGGGCCTTGCAGATTTGGCCGTATCAAAAAATTTGCATACAAAATCCGTCGTATAATCCAGGGCCAGTAAGCCGAAAATGGCGAGGAAAGCAAAGTGTCCAGCTTCCTCCCCCGCCCACTTAAAAGCTTTACGAGCCCTAGCCACGCTATGGAAGTGTAATTCCTGCGCTGATGCGTGCATGCATTATCAAATTTCATTTAACGGCCTCCATAAAATTGAGAGATAGCAGCAACCCTTGGACCGGGAGACGAACCCTTTCCCCAATTGGGTCCAAAATAATGCTTAGATAAGCGGCGAGACTTTAAAAGCTAGTCCTGTCGCCAGCTAGGCTAACTGTCAACATATAAATATAGAGCGAGAGGCAGGATGCATCAGCCGTTTTATAAATGGAGCCAGCACTGCTCTTAATTCTTGGTATTCTTTGAATGATCTCAGTGAGTCGCTCCCCTGCTCTCGCTCCTGCGCTGGCAGTTTGTTTATCTTCCACACACTCTCTGTGTTTAGAGAAAATTGGGGAGACGAACGCAATGAGGGAGAGAAAGATATCGACGAGCCGCCGCCACCACCACGGACGAAATGATAATTTTTACTATCTCGAGGCAATTAGCGAGTTGTATTGAGACCAAGGGGAGGAGGTCCTGCAAGATAATGGCGCGACGGCTATTAGATTATTCATGGCGCTTAATTGCGCACTGCGAAGAAAACCTTTGAAAAGACCGGGGAAACAATCAATCATCGCGAGGCTTTTGTGAAAGTCGCACTAATGTGAATAAATGCATCTAGAGTATACGCGCAATTGATGATAATGCATTATGTATATACGGTCACTTGAAGTAAAGCAGAGGGATAAAAATAAAATTAGCTGAAGTTTAAGAATGTGTTGGGGAATATGAATGTTGATTGATGGGAATTGCCTTGCTCGCAGCTTAATTAGAGAATGCACTTAGGGTTTTAGACAAAAGCTGTAAATGAGTCGTTGCTTTTTTTGAACTATTCAAGAGGCATGTTTCTTTAACGAAGCAAAGGTTGAAGGGAAACTTTCGGATTTTTATTGCAAGCTATATATGAAGCTAGACACTTGAGCGGTTGAAATTAGGCAACCAATTAAGAACGATGCATGGACGTTGAACGGGTTGCATTATATTTTTTTAGATTAATTTGATAAAAAAAAATTAGTTTTTTTAGATATTTTGGCATATTTTTCACAAAATTATAATAAAATTGCTGTAAAAGCTGATGGTTACAATAAGGCAAGCAATTGCATACATTTAAGGAACGTTTAGCTGGTTTCATTTTTTATTATTACAATATTAAATTAAAATTGAATACCACAGCATAACACAGATAATAACGCAGAATCAATCACGAAAATTACTCCTGACACGGCAGGAATTTTATTTCAGCATTTTGAAACCAATCCTTTTCCATTTAGATAATAAATAAAAGGCACGTATCTGGTTGCATAACCGAAGCTCTTTTCATCTCCTGTCAGCGGTTTGTTGGAATTCATCGAAATCGAAACATTGCGGGCATGCACATAATTTTACCTGAAAAAGAGCTTTGTCGGTCCGAACGAGGAAAGCCCGTCGGTAAATTTGCTCGGCATGCGCGAAATTTGATTAACCTGCCCTCTCGGCCGCTGCTCAATCAGCAGCTGTGCGCCGGGGGTCGATGCTGACTGAGCAATCAAAAGGTCCCGCCCTGACGGTGTTTGCCATTCCTGCAGGCTGTTTGATTTCACAATGAATCATCCCCTCGCACATTAAGCTTTTCCTTTTTATTTATTTACCCGGGGCCGCTGACGTTGACGACGACGAGAGGAGTCGCGGCATGCAACCCTCGGTCCGTCAGTTTTGGGCAGACGCAGGTGGATTCTGGTATTGATTCTCTATTTGTATTATCATAGAGCGGATCCGTCTGCGGCAAATAGCAACTAATGAGGCCAAAGGGGCCTCAGTAGAAAAGTAGTCTGCTGGCGGCGTGTGTTTTATTTGCGAGGGAGGCGCAGCAGCCGGGGGTGGAGTCGCCCACACGCTTCCCCCGGCGTTGCCTATTCACAAGGAGCAGAGAGTGAAATGGGAAAGAGAGAGGAAGAGAGATGCTGTGTGCATGCGGTTTTTAGATAAAAACCTGGCTGACTCGGATGGCGAGATAATTGAATGACTCCCCACACTTGCTTCCTGGCCTGGACCTAATGGGATCCGAATAATGCGATAGAGGCGAAATCGGAAATATTCAGACATAGCTGATTTCACCTAAATAGCATGAGCAGTTTTTCTGTGCCCTCGGGTACCTATACAAGGTCGTTATAAATAAATTGCCTCAGAAAAAAAATTTAAATTTTAAAGGAACAAAAGAAATATTGCCGACCGTATAAGGGCATATTGTGTTCAGATTATAGAATATTTTTTTCACGCGCAGAGATATAAATTCCTGGCCCAAACAGAAAAATGGACACAGGTATAATCAGAGAATGCTTGCAGGCTATAGTGCAACAAATCAACTGAGAATAACGGATTAACTTTTGGGCGTAATGAAGTCAATTAATTTGACAAACAGGCGTGAAAGCCGAGAGCCAAGCCCAATTTCAGATGTTTGCATTTCCCACGTGTTTTTTCTAACGTTTATATTATGCCCAACTTTTTTTAATACACACAAAATAAGCCGTCTATTATGTTCTGCGGCTGTGGATTTTCCGCCACTTTCAAACAATAATAACAATAATTTGGCGAATGCTCGCATACAGGCGAGGGACGAAAATGAAAAATGTGCTAGCACATCCATTATTATTAATAAAAATAACGCATACGAGCGGAGAGCGTCACTTTGGGCGTTGCGCTCGCTCAAGAAAACCATTGTTTCCCACGTGATCCCATTACATAATGCGTTTGTCGCTCTTTTCTCCGCCACAAATATATATATTTTAAACCAATGTTAGTTGGAAACACGTGTGGTACAAAGCAAATGCAAAAGAGAACCGCCGCGCCTATTAAATTCAAATTAAAGCAGCTCGAGCGTGTGTGCAGTGTTTTTAGAGCCGGGTATAATTGAAAACAACACACACGCACGCCAAAGCTGCCGGAAAATCCGCGAGGCGATTCTAAATGCATAAAGGCAGATTTTCGTACAGCAACTTAAAAGAGAAAGGCAAAGTTTAAGACGGCACGGCATTAAGGGTGAAAATAAAAGCGCACAGCCAAGTTTTGGAAAGCCATTTTAATTCAAAAGTTTGTGCTGAGAAGCGGGCCTAACGTCTCGTATTGTGTCTGTCGAGAATATTAAGCAGCTTTTGCCTCCACCAGAGCAATAAGGAGGAAGGCTCGTTTGCAGTAGTTTTAAATGGCGTGTTTTATTCCCCTTGCTGGCTTTACAGGCGGTGTGTGCGTCGAGTGCTAATGAAAGCAGAGGAAACCGAGCCCGACTCACTCACACACGCCGCGGTCGCCCTTTTCCTCTTTTCGAATTTTTTGTTAAAAATATACTCCTCAAAAGCGGCCGAGCCATCCGTCTTTCATTCGGATGACACGCGCCAAGATTTCGCTGCAACCGGAACTCGGCAGTCTCCGTGACTCATATTTAGAGACGAAATAAAAAATTGATTTATGCGTCTGGACGTTTTGAAAATTGCCTGTAAATAAACAGCGGAAAGCACTCCCATCTCTTTTGCGCGGCTATTTTCACGTACTTTTTTACTAGCAAATTTTAAATTCGCTCGTATTTCATCTTTTTAATGAGCCGCCCATCTGCTTTTGATTTCAGTTCTGCGAGACGAGTTCCGAGTGGAGCCAAAGGACACCAGGGTCGCTCAGGGGGAGCCCGCGCTTCTTGAGTGCGGCGCTCCAAAAGGTCACCCAGAACCCGCTATTAGCTGGCGCAAAAATAACCGCACAATCGATTTTGAAATGTCGAGAAGGTATGTGGATCAACATGATAATATCTTTACTTGCTAGTAGTAGATGTTTGTTAAAAAATTTACTACTTAAAAAGTTTTAACTAATATTTAAAAAAAAAAATATAAACTTTGAATTTAAACAAATGTATATTTTTTTTCGTTATTTTTATAAAACAATATTTTTTAATTTTTTTTAGTTTTATATAATTTACAATTTTTATTTTTATTTCATTGTTATTCTACTTAGCAAGCATAGCCATTAGGTAATTAATTATATTCTGCTTAATATTTTCTTCATATTTTATTAAAAGTATACCAAGCTAGCTAGTTATTTATTGGTGAAGCATAACAATGTAATATCTAAATCATATGTGCAGTTTTAACCAAAAAGTATTAATCAAATAATGAAATTATAATGGTACTAACATGTCTATGAAAACTTTAAAAATTGATTTTGCAAGGTAAGTTTATTAGATTGTTAAGATTCCTGATTCCTAAAAACTAAAAATAAATTTCCTGGAAAAACAAAATAGGTTGGCAATTGAAAGTTAATTATTGTAACTTTTCCTCAGGATTCGCGTTGTGGACGGTGGCAATTTGCTGATTAATGACGCACGGCAGAGTGACGAGGGCCGATACCAATGTGTGGCCACAAATGTTGTTGGTCACCGGAGCTCTCAAGTTGCTGTGCTCTCAGTTCACGGTAAGCACTTTGATCTTGTTATTGAAAATCTGCCGGTGTCTCTTTTACTCGATGTTATTTTTGTATTCTTCTCTTTTCCTCCTTGCGAAACTGACGTGTCAATTTTGCGCAGTGAAACCGTACTTTGTGAAAGAGCCAAAGGACGTGACCGAACTGCAAGGCCTGAGCGCCGAGTTCAGCTGCCGCGTCGACGGCGACCCTGTGCCCAACATTCTTTGGAGCAGGGCCGACGGCAAAATGCCGCACGGCAGGGCGCACATCCTGGACGACAGGTCGCTGAGGATCGAGGATTTGCAGCCTGGAGACGACGGAATGTACATTTGCCACGCAGAAAACGTGGTTGGGTCAATATCTGCTCAAGCCCAGCTCACTGTTCACTGTAAGTACTCCAAAAATGTTACAAGGATTATTTTTACACCGCTAAAAAATTTCAAAGGACAAAAATCTGTTTGTATTAAACTATTAGTCACTTTTTTTTAATTTTTCAAAAAAAATTAGAGTGTAAAATATTTTTGGCACTATGAAAAAAATTAATTATATGTTTCCAATATTCTCAATTTAAAACTTGTGTTAAATGCTGAATTTTGAATTTTATATGGAGAAATAAAAGCGGGTGCTAAAAGTACTCAAACACGTTTTAAGTTTTGTTCCACTTTGTTGCAGCTCCGCCTGACTTCATTGTCAAACCCGATGACCGCAAAGTAGCTGTCAATGGTGTGACAACCTTCACTTGCTCTGCGCACGGACAGCCGCCGCCTTCGGTTTTCTGGAGTAAAGAGGGCAACAGTCAGGTACGAAACTTGTATTACCTAAATTGAAAACGTCAATCCGGTAGTAAATTGGCATAAAGTTTTTTTCATTCAACACGTCCAGATCGATTTGATTCAAATTAAATTATAATTTAATTGATATAATAAAGAAAAATGCTATTTTTCCCTTTGTTTGGCAGAGTTTTATTTATTTTTTCGTGGGTATTTCCCCCAGCTCACAATTAAATATATGCTTTTGAACGGCCCGACGAGATGAGATTAAAGGTGCTTATGGCGACTGTTTGCTTTGCGTGTTTAGGTGTTGATGTTCCCTGGGCACGACTATGGTCGTCTGCACGTCAGCGCGGCCGGCGAACTTGTGGTCAGGGGAGCTCGAAGGGGCGATTCTGGCTACTACGTTTGCTCAGCTCTCAGCGTGGCCGGCTCCAAAATTGCCAAGGCTTATCTGGAGGTGACCTCCGTTGACGACTTCCCTCCGCCCTTGATCCAAATTGGCCCATCCAACCAAACACTGCCGATGAAAACTAAGGCCGTTCTGCCCTGTTCGGCTGTCGGTGACCCTGACCCAAAGGTCAGATGGAGCAAGGACAACGTCAACCTGAACCTAGACAAGACTGGACGGGTTTCCATCACCGATAAGGGCACTTTAATCATTGATGGTAAATTAAATTGAATAATTTTATATTAATTTCATATTTTAAAATAAATATTTTAATATTTGCAGAACTCCAGCCGAGTGACACTGGGTTGTACACTTGCACAGCCTCTTCTGAGAGTGGTGAAACCACCTGGTCCGCCTCTTTGACTGTAGTTCCGCCCGAGTACAGAAACATTCACCGCACTCCAGATCCGGACACCCTTCCCGGTGCTCCGAACAGGCCAAACGTGTCCAACATCTCGGACACTTCTGTGCTGCTCAATTGGAAATCAGGCTCTCCAGGCGCATCCCCACTGGTCGGATTTACAGTGGAGGTTTTCAGCAGTGAGCTCCAAAGTGGATGGAGTGTTGCTGCCCACCGGGTCACTGGCAGCAGCATCAAGATCACGCAGCTCAAGCCAAACACAAGTTACATTTTTGTAATCCGAGCTGAGAACTCGCATGGCCTCTCACCGCCAAGTCCACTCTCAGACAGAGTGCACACTTTGGCTAGAAGAGGAAATAATGGGCTCGAGCTGGACCTTGGAGATGCAAGGCAGCGACTCAGCTCCAAAATAGTCGAGCTGAAAGACGCACAACCTGCTAGCTCGACTTCGGTTCGACTTGTTTGGGAGGTTTGTTTTTAAAATTTAATTGAAAATTTTAAATGTTGAAATTTATATTTTGTGTAGATTTTGTCAGAGGAGCAATATGTGGAGGGACTGTACGTTCGCTACAGAGATATTTCCAGTGGCTCCCAGAACTACGCCATGATCACTGTGCTCAACTCAGGAGCCACCAGCTATGTGGTGCGCCAGTTAAAAGAATTCACAAAATATGAATTCTTCCTGGTGCCCTTCTACAAGACTGTTGAGGGCCAACCCTCAAACTCCCGCACCGTCCAGACCATTGAAGATGGTATATATTTGTGGCAATTCCTTGTAATTCCTTGTCTAATGCAAATTTTTCTTTCTATTTACAGTTCCATCTGCTCCTCCTGAGAATGTGCAAGTGGGCATGATAAATAATACATCAGCTTTCGTCAAGTGGAGTCCGCCACCGCCGCAACACCACAATGGAATACTTTTGGGCTTCAAGGTATTTTTTTTCAAACGCTTCTTGATAAAAAAAAAATTAAAATAAATTGTAAAATTTATAAATAAAGAGCTTAAAAGTATTAAATATTTGGAATTTAAAAATATTTATATAAAAATTAAAAAATTTTGATTTTAATTAATTATTTATATACAGCATTTCATTATTATTTTCATTGCCAAATTTTTAAAATCACCATTTTAATTAACCTTTGATAATCACATTATTTATTATTTTTGCAGATTCAAGTGCGCAGTGCGAACAGCTCAAAAGTTCTGGCTCAAATGAATTTGAACGCCACCACCCTGACAGTTCGACTCAACAATCTGACCACCGGCATTGCATACTCTGTGCGTGTAGTGGCCTACAGCAGAGCCGGAATGGGCCCTTACTCTTCTCCAGTCATTCTGACAATGGACCCTGCGTCTCTTCTTCTAAGTGACTCCAACCTGCAAAGCGCTGGTGAAACAGGAAATCCGCTTCTGCAAGACAATTGGCATGTTCTCTTTGCGGCTCTCATTTCTTTGGTCTTGCTGGTCATGGGCGCCGTTCTCTTCTACGTCCGCAAACATCACTCCAGTAAAAAGCAACTCGGACACCAGAGTGGTTAGCTCAAAATTATAAATTATGAAATTATAATTTTCAAATAATCCATTGCATAAATCTTTTTTGTAATTTAAATGTCATTCTCTATTTCTACTGAAATTTAATTTATTATTTTTATTATAATAATAAATTTGACATATTCTAACCTTTCTTCCAATCAGCAGTTCCTGTGGTGAAGGCAATGGAATTGGCATCACTAGATATGGGTAACACGAAACAGGCGCCTTTGTGGATTGACAGAGGTTGGGGCGCTCAGGACAGGAATACCCCGGGAACGCAAAATTTGCTCTCTGGATCAAATGCAGGGTCTGATTATGCCGAAGTTGACCCTCGAGGACTGTCGACCTTTGGGAGACGAGAACCTCCTCAACTTCCAGGCCCCTACGCTACGACCACCCTCATCGGGTCAGCTCGCCGCGACACCTCACTGGTAATTTTTGGTGTACATTTAATAAGTACTTTGATTTAATATACATACATTTGATTTTATAGGAGGAGCAAATTTTCTGTGGAGTGCCAAGTTCCTCAGCCAGTGACCCTAAGACTTCAAGCTCAAATGATTCTTGCCCTCGGCCTGACAACTGCAGCATGGGCTCTCATGACCACCAATCAAATTTGTATATTGGTAAGGTTTTTTTATTTGGAATGTAATTTGAATAAAAAAAAAATCGTTCAAAAATCAGAAGACGGTGGTTTGCTGCAGCGTCACAAGAAGCCCTCAAGTATACGAAACAAAATGTCAATTGCAAACAATGGTCCTCTGGGTCCGAGTTGGTCCGACTTCATTCCTCCACCTCCCCAGGAAGATCCTCCTCCACTCGGAATGAACGACAGGCCCGACACTCCTGCAAGTGCCAGACTTCTTCAGGTGCGTTGAAATAGAAAAATGCTCAGCTTTTATTGAAGTTAATATTCTAAATTCACAGGCTCTTAAAAAGGGCACAAGTCCCCTTCCTAACCGAAGACTTCACATGAATTGGAACAGCATGGCAAGTGAGTCTCGTCTGCCTGCGCCAACTCAACCACCCCCAGGAGTTCCTTACGACGAGCTTGGACTGACAGACCGCGGCATCCAATCTTCACTCCCGAGTTTGGCTGGCGAATCTGCTAGACTGCTGAGCAGCAACAGACGCAACATGGTGCCTGACATAGGTAAATTTGTTCTCAAATTGAAGAAAAATGGATTTTTTTTTTACTTTCATTTAGTTATATAAAATCACAATTCTTAAATTTTCCCTAAATTAGCATAATTTTGTTCTACAGTTGACTACAGTGAGGCAGAGTACAGCGTGGCTGGTGAGCCAGGACAGGGGTACAGCAGTGCACAAACCAGCGAGGAGGATGACCATGTCAACGGAAACTGCTGCTCGTGCAGTGACGCTGATGGTGCCTATGAGGATCAAGCAATGACTAAAGTGAGTTTTTATTTAATATTAAAGAGCTGAGAGATTATAAGTAATTTTTCAATTTCAGATCTGCCAACATGCAGGGCGCCAGCAGCAAAAGAGGTTTGATCGGCAGCACAAGAGGCCAACCTCACCGTACAGTTCCGATTCCAATTACAGCAGTGGTCGTCAACAGCGAAGAGACAGACCTCCGAGGAGGAAGCAATCAAATATCTCCAACTCGCTTGATAGACCTGGTAAATTTAAATATGCTTAATATAATATTTCCTACTTATTAAGTAACTGAAGTTTGTATTTATTAGGAAAATTAAATTTCATTATAAATTTATTAGCTTAAAATAATTAAAATAATTGATAAAAAAAAGTTGATCCAGGTTGATCATTTTATGAATATTATTTATTCCTCTTTCTTTAATGAAATCTATTTACAATTTTTTTTAAAGTTTTTAATTTGAAAACGATTAATTTTATTATATGAAATCTTACTATTTTGTATTTTTCTTAATCATTTAAAAAATTGTTTCAGAGGGACACATGTATTGGTCAAACCCATCGCCCTTAGCAAGTCCTCATAGTCCTAATGCGGCGCACAAGCCTCCTCTACCCCCGTTGAATGCTCACCAGCAATAGAGAGGACCGCTGCCTCGAGATGCTCAAATCAATTTTTCCTCCTTTTCTTCTCGCTGTAGCATGTGTTTTTTTATATATGGACTCTCTCTTGTTACGCTGTGATTTGGCAATAAATTGCCACGCATCATTTATCGGTGTGTAAATAATGTGCAGCAGAAAATCGAGGGGACGATCACTGTAAAATGCATAAAAATGTAATGGGTAGGCCATGCCACAATTGTTAATTTGTAATTTGTTAAGGCTGTGTATAGTCCTAGATCAATGTGGATGAGACGTGAAAATCTCAAATCGCGCGCCATCATAACCCTTCCTTGGCATTAACAGACAACCTAATCCTTGTTTGAATTTTGGAAGCAAAAGGCAGGACCCTTGAATCATTTGTAGACGGCTGGAGATTCAGCTTTCTTAATAAATAATGAAAAAAAAAACACCATATTTCTTGGAGGATAAAAAAAATACACACTTTGGTAGAAGTTTTAGATTTGAATGTGGCAAAAATAATCGATTGACCAACTTAGTCTGAGGTCAGGTTAATAAGTCCTATATATCACATTAGGAATTTGTCCAATCCATTTTGTATACTTTCTATATAAAAAGCCAAAAAAGCTAAACGATCAAAGCAATTTATCCTTAGAGGCGCCAGATCCATGCCGGAAAAAATATCTAATATTGCTGTACAAGTTTGCATCCACTTCTATGAATAACATGTCAGTAATACCTTAGCGTTAAGGCTAACTATGATGTTCTAGTGCAGGAAATTCAATTGTTGGAATGATGTAAATTCAATTGTTGGACAAGAATAACATAAAATGTACACATAGGTTTGATGTCAAACCTATCAAAAATGAATGTGTCTCTGAATAGCTGAGAGGAATGTGTATTTGATGGCATAAAGTAGAATGAAAAAAATAATGTAATATGCTTTTGTTTTCAGATTAATTTGAAAACACTGCCATTCTGACTGACAAACTAATTTAATAATGGAGTTAAAATAATGTGACCATCCATGTCTAAGGATATTTCGTGTAGGAAATTGCAAAAAAATAAATATTAATAAATGAATGATTGCGTTTTATTTTATTTATTTTTAAGTTATTAATTGATGAGCGTCGTCCGACCCAAAATGCATTTTATTAGGCTTTAAAAAAATCTGAGCAACAGTTGGACATAGTAAATGAAAGGTAAAAGTGAAACTATCACCTCCATGTGGAATAAATAAATTTATAGTTGTTTTTTACTTTAAATTAATCTTATTTAAAGCAGGAGATAAAATTTTATAATTTAATATACAGTTTTTTGATAAATTCTATATTTAATTTCTTTATTTGTTAATTAAATTTTATTATTTCTAAATATTTATATTTGTGATTGAAATTTTTGCAGTGCATTCTTACATTACGTATCAAGTACTCTGATGGAAGGAGCTACGTAATAACAATTTAGCAGTTATGCGCATTTCCAAATTAGAATTGATGTCATTAACACCAAAGATTAGACAAGGGAGCCGTCACTGGCCCTGAATGTATAATCACGGCTACTTGATAAAAAGAAGTGTTTTTTTTTTACCTATTTTTTAGAAAATGCGGTACATAATATGTAATATTAAAGTTTTTTAAAATGTTGAAGTATCTGAATAATTATATTTGCGATTAATATGACATTTTTACTCTCTAGTCAATTACAAATGACCTTTTTGCGCAGGGATCATAATATTCGCAAATGAATGGGTATCTTTTGCTGCACATCGAGTCGTTCCACATAATAATTCCCTTGTTGTTATAATACTGCATACAATCTTCCTTGTTCCAAGGGCCGCTGTTAGGGGGAATTCCGCTGGGCTCGCCACGGTGCCAGGCTGCAGAAACGTTCACCGGCGCCCCACTTGTATACCAGTAAAAGCTGCCCTCCTTGCCAAGATCACTTCCGCCAATCCACATTCTATCAGTAATGTATTGCCCTTTTTTGAAATTAAATTGCAAAATAAATGTCTGATAGTTAGTTTGCAAATAATATTTTACCGAAAAGTACAACAACTTGTTCGTGCTCCGTTTCCGTTTCAATTGTTAGCAAGTCATATCCCTGGTTCCTGCATTGTTTAAGAGCGCCATGCCAAGTGTCCTCAAAAAAAAAAAAAAAAAAAAAAAATTGTTGAAATAGTAACTATTTGTTAACTACAATAGTTACAATTTCCTTTAAACAAAACTTACAGGTTCCGATAACACCTTCATCATGTATTTTCCACCCTTGAAAGTAATCCATTCGTCTTTTTAAACAATAATTAATTTAATTAATGATCTTAAACTTTTTAAATACATTTTACCTGTCACTGAGGAGACCCGTGAAATCGCGAGAAGTACACAGATTGCGCCCAAAAGCACTTTCAGACGCTGCATATTTGACCTGCAGTCAAATCTGGGTCAACTTGATGCAGTAGTCTAATTAACGTCAACCGTGAAACTTTAAATGATTTGCGTTTCATGAACTTTTTAAGATACACAGTAATTGCTACTTACAGCAATTGAAGTGAAATTTTATCTCGTCTGTTCGATAAGATTTACAAGGGGAGAAGTCCACGATGTGAAAAAAACGGAGTGACTTCATATTTATCTCTCAGCGACACTCAGGTGACCTTAGAAAATCGTTGCCAAAACCTTTTCTGGATTTGACATGGAGTTTTTTTTTTCAATAAAAAGTTGTATGGACAGACGCGCAGCAATCTGATTTAGTTCAAATACGAAGTTTATTGGTGTTAATTGGATATAAGCAAAATAAATTTGATGTGCAAGTAAAAACTACAATTTAACATAACGAGAGTGAAAAATACATAAATACATTGGAACCGTCATTATACATCCCTTAAGTTGTTTTTATCATTACTATTAGAGTTTTAATACATTCTTTTTTAAAGAATCGGAAGTGCCAAAAGAATTGTATTCAAAAAGTGAAACGCGTAAAACGGAAATAGCCAGTGAAATTAAATTTTAATTTCATGATCTCATTCTTAGAAGATATGATAAATCAATTTCATATCATTTGTTTACCATTTAATAAGAAATATTGACATTTATTAAAGCATTTTCGATGATCTTAAAATATTATCTATCACTTTGAAACAATGTTTCAAGTCCTTAAATATTATAAAATTTTAGATAATATTAGTTTACTCTGTTAACTTTTTGGATTTAAAACAAAGTTCTAGAGAGTTTTCACAGATTTTGTGTAGAGAACAGCTAGTGACAAAATTATAAACGAATGATTATATAAAAGTCTTGCATTGGTTCAAATAGAGAATTTCTCAAGTTTTACATTTTAAGATAAGACAAAAGAGCCGACATTTTGGCGCTGAATATTTTATCATTCTATTATAAGATTAATTAAGATATAAAAAAAGTGAATAATGTTATTGCTTGAATTAAAAACTAGGGTGTATAAAGAATGAAAGTGAAAATATTAAATAATATCATAAGTTCTGGTTAATATTAAGGTATGTATTAAAAATATGTTACAGAAAAATATCCAGCAATTAAAATGGTCTTCTTGCGCAAGGGTCATAAAGTTCGCATATGAAGTTGTACTCGTTCTCGCAAACCGAGTCGTTCCACAGAATAACGCCATTCTTGTTTTGATACTGCAGGCAATCTTCTTTTACTCCGTTGGAAGGGTTGTTTCCGCTTGGTTCACCAGCGTGCCAGGCAGTGAAATTAAGAGGCGCCCCAGTTGAATACCAGTAAAAGCTACCCTCTTTACCGAGATCGGTACCGCCAAGCCACAGTCTATTGGTAATGTACGGCCCTTTAAAAATTAACACCAAATAAGAATTATTGAAATTAATTTTAAAAATTAATATTTCACCAAAAACTGCAAGCACTTCATCTTCCTCCGCCTGACTTTCAACTGTCAGTAATTCGTATCCCTGCTCTCTGCATTGTTTAACAGCGTCAAGCCAAGTTGCCTGTGGTCATGAATAAAAATAAAAATTTCACTTTGAAATAAATTTTACTTACAGGCCCCGAAAGAATCTTCATTATGTATTGTCCCTCTTTAAAAGTAGTCCATTCGTCTATTAAAAAAATAATTTTATTCTTTGCCGTTAAATTTGGCATCTTGAGTAGTTTAAAATAAATTACCTGACAAAGAGGCAACGTTCGAAATAGCAAAAACTGCATAGAGAGCGACGACAAACACGCTCAGGTGCTTCATATTTAACCTTCTAAATACACTGGGCCAACTTGCTATAGTGTAGCTAATTAACAAAAACCTCTATCGCAAATGATTTGCGTTTCAACTAAACCGTTATTTCTAAGTAGCACTATTATCTTTGTGATAAGATTTGCATCAAAGTACGTCACGGCCGCGGAAAATAACTTAGCACACTTTTTACTTGATATCAGAGGTTTTGATTAGTTTTGAGACAAGTCAAATTTTGACATTTGCAAGTGAGCGGACAAAGATTGTCTCTGTTATATTCCTTTTGAAATTGCCGACAAAGCTATCGCTTGCATTAAAAGTTTTTTTCTCTTTGAAATTCCTTTTTCTTAATTTTTAAGAGAAAAGTTGTGTTGGTTATAAAATAATAAGTAATTTCCTAAATCAATGAATTTATTTTTTAAGTTTGTTAACAGTGCGTGTTTTGTCTGAAAACATTAAATTATCTTTTTTTTTAGAATTTAGTGTAAGAAATATATTACCTAAAGCAGGGCACGTAGCTATATTTCCTTGCCGGCCTTGCCGCTCTCAAGTCTCAACACTATAATAGCCTAAATAGCAGTAACCTGTGGCCAATGTTGCTCGATGTTTTTGCATGTTTATGCAATCTGAGGGCCAAGGACTCATCTTTCTCCTCTTGGTCTAAGAAGGCTTAGAGTTAGAGCTGCTTGAAATTTCCAGTGTTTTGATTCTATGCGTCTGAAGTTACCAGATTTTTTTTACTTTAATAAAGCATGAGTTGAGTTTAATGATTATTTGCTCATGAGAATTACCAATTTCGCCTACTTGAAGTTCGCTGCAGAGATGTCTCTCTTGCTGCTTATGCTTCTTTCTCAGCAGCTCCATTCACATCTTTGTATTTTGTGGTTTTCAGGAAAAAGTTTCAAAATAGAAATATATATTTTTTTTGTAGCATCTGAAACGGAACGAGGACTCTCCATCAGTTGTGAATATAAATAAGGCAGGTGTTTGGCAAATGCCACTGAGGGTGCGTGTTTTCAAAGCGCGCCTTTCCTCCCTTTAAATAGTTTTGCACCACAACAATTCCATCAAACAAACAAAAATACTAGTTTATATTTATATAATTCCTAAGCTAGGTTAAGCTAGGTTCAAAATGAATGAAAACCAAGCAAATGAATATTTATTTTTTATTGACAGCAAATAAATTATCCGAGCACAAGAAAGTGAGCGATAAAAAAAACAAGAGTGAAAAATGTCTCTGTATGAAATTAAGACTTGAAAACTTTGTTTTTCTCCACTACAATGCAAGTTTTTTGATGAAATTATTCATTAAATATTTTGTACTTACACAGACTAAAATTTATCTTAATTGATGTTAAGAATTAATAATGATCAACTTTGGTAGCTTCTTTGTTCAACATTTATAGTCAGATCACGAAATGCGTCTACCATCTGAGTGCAACGCTCTACAAAATTCATCAGTTTGATCAAGCGTCAGCGATTAGCAAGACAATAGATCGTTTGTTCATTGACAGAGCAGTGTGTAAATAAATAGTTTAATTACATTTATAGTAGTTAACAATGAGTCTAATGTGCTATTACTCCCAGTGATGAAAAAGTTGCAATTTAATTAAACCAAATAGGATACATGAGAAGAGAAAGCCATCTATTAAATTATTAACATTGTTATGCTGCACTAGGAAGGAGAGGAGTCACTTCGGAGGCAGTTGGTACCTGATGTACGGCACATCAACTTCCTGATCACTTGCAACATCGTCACAACTAATTTCTAAAACAAGAGCCCTCACATGAGGCTCTATATTTTTCTTGGTCAGTCGGCGTACCAGCTCAGGGATTGTGAGAGCCAACCGCTCACTTTTCTTCTGTTCGTCGAAGAAGGAGGCATAGAGTAAAACCACGCCCTGATTGAGCATGGTCACTTCTAGGCCATACACGTCTCTGAAGTGATCAAGCAACCCATGCAGGGTCATTTCCTGGTTGAATTCAAAGCGGTCCCACAAGGTCCATTCCCTGCCGTTGAAGGCCTGCCGGGCAGCGGCCAGTGGCTCAGAGAAGGCAAACAAGGGCAGAGCCAGGTTCACGAAGCCATTTTTGAAGCAGGCCAGCTTCTTGGCGTCCACAGGTGGTGCCCCCTCAGTACCCCAAATCTCTTTGCTGCAATCTCGGTCCATTCGACTGTACAACAAAAATAAACGCTTGATTCATTAAATCTTTCCTGGGCAGATAAACAACAACATAATATGATATAAAGAAAGTGTCTGTTCCATTTGGAAAGCAAATCAATAGAATGTAGTACAAAAAATGCGCAGTTTTTAGATATTAGAAAAATATCGAAATGCGAAAGGGTTATGTTGCTAAGTCCATATACTCACTTTGATGAAATCATTTTACATTAGGCAAAAAGGTATAAGTTTTTTTATGTGCACCATTTCACCCACTTTCAATATTTTTCTAATATGAATTTTTTTTTTCTTCATTTTAACAATGGCATTTTTTTATCTTTTCTTACTTTTTGGTACTTTTGATTTGTTTTAAAAAGCTATTCTTTTAAAAATGATGGAAAATTGAATATTTTATTCTTACGTGTAACCAAGGCGAACCAGCTTGAAGAGCTCTAGGGTGACTAGTCCGGAAACCACACTAGTTGTGGTAGCGATGGCTGGGATGATTTTGCCGGCGATCAACTTGCTCTGATGTCTGTCTGCAGGCTCGATGCCATAGTTAGCCGCCCTCAGGTTTGATGCAGCAACAATGAAATCCATGTGCTGGTTGCTATCATCATCTTTCTCAAAGTCCAAGGGATTAATCTGTAAAAATAAATTATTTTCTTGATGATGGAAGGTTCTTTTAATTAATTGTTCTTACTATGAGACCAGCCACTTGGTTTCTAGCTTCCTCCAGTTCTTGGACAATGTTTTCTTCTTGGTCCATGTCCGCACTGTCATTAGCCAACTGCGAATCATTCTCAGCAATGCTCACGCCATCCCTTGACACAAAATGAGGAACATGTACAGCTTGGACCATTTCTGTCACCCTTTGCCGGTCTAAGTTCTTCTGAATGCCGTAAACCTGCAAATTTAATTACGATATTGTAAAAAAGAAAGTTGTACAACAGGTTTTTTTTTACCATCAGATTTAATTTTAATCACTAAAAATAGTTCACATTTAGGTATCAATTACCTGCGCAAGAAGATTGGCAGCAGCAACAATGAAGTCCAAATGCACCTCATTTCTGATATCAAACTCCAAAGGTGTTGGCTGGCGCTTGGGTCCAGACCAAAAGTCATGGCCAGTGCTCGTTTTTAAGTCGGGAGGGAAATTGTGAAGGAGCTGTTTGATCTGATTTGAGTACTGCTCCTGCCAGTAGTTGCGTGCCCAGGCGACACAGTCTTGGAAGTTTTTAGGGCGGTCGACGAGAGCTTTTTTCACTGCTATGAATACTTCCACTGGTTGGCACCCTGGCAGGGTCTGCGTGCGCTGGATGAAATTAGGGTCCTTGAGGAACATAGAGGCACTCTCGGCTGCCTGCGTGAAGAGGCCTTCGAAAGCATCACGCGCCCATTGCAGTGTGTGCTCGATGGAGTTTGGAAAGTTTTTCAAGGTGCAAATGGGGATGCTCTTCTCAGGTGGGTCCTGCGATGAGCTGTATGACTCAGTCATGAATGGCACCACCACCTGCACATTGCCCTTGGTGCCCAAGGTTCCAGATTCAAGCAGGGGCAGGTGGTAATAAACGCAACGACGATCCATGTAAATCCTTGCGTCTACATTATCCAGTGCGTTAGCCACGCCATCCAAGTTGTGGAAGAACTCGTCGTTGTAAATCGATTCAGTGTCAGGGCCGACACGGTTCAAATGAGCAGTGATATTTACTTCTGGGTTCATTGCTCTAGAAAAAAATTAAACTTTAAGAAAAATATAATGTCAAAGCTATCTCAAATAAGACACAAATCAATCTCTTGTCTTAAATTAAAGAGTTAGATAATGTATTATTAGATAGATAGAGTATTTATTGAACACAACTAGGTGTACAACGGGTGTCTAAAGCTAATTTGTCTTCCTAAAATTAATTTTACAATTAAGCTTGTTTCGATAATTATTACAAAGTACAAAATTAGTTAATTTTGATTTTTGCAGCCTCTCTTAGGCTTAGTTTTCGTTCATTACATTCAAGAATATGATATTGTGAACATTTCTTACCGCAGTGCTTGCATTCACAATCTATTGTCGCTTGAGAATGAAAATTTTTATTCTTACAAAATAAATAGTGGTACCCGTGACAGGCAAATCTCGTAAACACTTGGCGATCACTGAACATTGCACATTGCCAATTTTTATTCTTCATAGTTTCTGTCTCGTAGAACTCATCACATATCTCAAGTTTGTTTAAATATTTAGACACACAAAATTTCTGGAATGCTTCAGTTTCAGTTAGAGAATATTTTACCTGTAAGTCCGATACAAAGAGATCAGTGTCAACTAATTCATACACAAATCTAGATCTAATATACTTGGACAGTCCTAAAACTCTTTTTAAATATCTTGTTTTGACTTTTTCAAGATTTTCAAAATCAGTCTTTGTTAGGAAAGGCCATATTTCTTCAATGCCGTAGGACGCAATTGGGGAAATTTTTAGATCAAATAGCTTGTGTGCTGTTTCAATGGATAATTGTTTTAGTTCTCGTATATTATAAGTGGCCAGCAATGCAGCTCTTGTTCTTTTTTCAATGTGCTTTCCAAAAGAGATTCCTGATGGTTGAAAAGTAACTCCTAAATATGTAAACTCAGCAACTCTCTCTATTTCAATTCCACCTAAATCTAGGCGGTCACTTAATGCATATTTTCCTAGACCCTTATTTCTAAATTTCATGAATTTGCACTTTTCCAAGTTAAGTTTCAAACTGCGTTTTAACAAAAATTCTTTCATTCTGGCTAAAGCAATTTTCAAGTCACTTAATTTTTCTGAGGTTAAAACAATATCATCTGCATAATAAATGGCTTTCACGTTTGGCAAATCTCGTAGAATATTATTTATATCAGCTAAAGAGTAATTGAACAGAAATGGGGACGTGCATCCCCCCTGTCTTACCCCATTTGATTG